CGCCCCTGAGGCAGCTTCTCAGTCGTTGGTTGGATGTTTTCTGCCGACGATATGTGATATATGCGCGTCGTGTCTCGGAATGCAGCGTAAAACGGCAGCCACTCGTTGATCGCACCCGAGAAGGTCGGTAGGTCGGTGTGCCGTAGTCGTGGTCGCGCCATTTTTTCTAGTGTAGCTGCTAATTGTTCGATGCCGCTTTTTCTTGTGGGTGATTTCGGCCTGTGACCGCCTCTTATTTCTTCTCGCGGCGCTCCCCCCGTTGTCACCTCCCCCCTTGGTTCGAGCGGGTTTGAGTGTAACCACTCGACCACCTTTTCCCGTTCTTGGGCAGGCGTTAACGGCGCCTCATGTAGCGACTCCTGGTCGTCCTGAATGGCCGACACCTCGGCGGCTAGTCTTTTCTTGACCAGTTCTGCTTCAAGTTCCAGTTCTTTTCTTTTTATGTTGGCCAGTCTCTCCGCTGCCTCTAGTTCTGCCAGCCTTAACCTCGTGTTGACGCTGGCTGTCGAGCGGTGTGACATTGCTGGCGATCGTTGACGGCGATGTTCATTTTGTTCCAGTAGCGCTGAAGAGGGTTCCGTAGGGGCGTGGATCGTGGCCGAGGCGGGCAGACGGGTGCATTGTTCACCGGTACCTGTTCGGTGCGGTACGGGTGACGCTGGAGGTTCGAGGGACAATCGTCGTTGACGTTCTAACTCAATACGATCGATCTGTCGTTCTTGCGTCCGTCTTCGTTCTTCCGCGTCGGTTGAGTCGCCTTGGCTCCGGGTAATAACCATTTTCTTTTTTGAGCTCTTCGGAAATCTTCTAGTTGACAGTAAATGTTCTTCACTATCCGGCTACTCGATGGACCAAAACTGTAGTGGACTGTATTAATTTTGAATGTTCTTCCAATAAAAGAGTTCTTCCTTTTAGACGTTTATTATTCTTCATTACAATTGAGCCGTGCCGTACAAATTTTTATTTACACATATATATACACTGACAGTGGTATGACAATTAACTAGTGTTTAAAAGCTAATCTTCGGGCGTCGACCAATCACGGCCTCGATCCGCCGTCGCCGTGGCGCCACCCAGGGCGGTTCGACAAGCGGTGATTTCGCTGCGACTGGTTGCTCCGCCGGTGACTGGTAGGACGCGCGACGAACTATTGCTTGACGCGATGTGGCTGTTCAACCGGTGTGTTAGGCGACACTTTGTTATTTTCTTCTGTAAATTACTTAGGCGATCCGTTAGCCGCTTGAGTCGCTAACAATCACATTGTATTATTATATACATAATTCTTCGTCTTTTCATGTCAACAACACCATCGAATCAATTAAGAATAATGTTGAATAATCTTAATAGTTTGGAGTAGCCATACACAATCCTTCTTGAAAGTGCTAATACAAATAGTTAAAAATTATTTTTACCTTCCCTTCTGCCTGTTTTTAAGTATTAAAAGTTATTTGCTTTTTACTATACACTATATTTTTACTATAGCTAAAGAATGTAAATCCAAAATGGCTTCAAGTTTTAGTAAGTAATATTTATATATTTTTAAATACTGTGGATTTTCTTTCAAAATAATGAAATATAATTTTTACCTGTTACGGGTAGTGCAGTTCGTTGGTATGTAGTTGGTAAAAGGTTATCAATATACACTCCCAAAATTATTGAAGATTATGAAAATAAAAGATACACAAATTAAAAAATAAATAACATTTCTCTTACATCATCCTGAGAGATAAATTTTTCATTAATATTTGTGTCAATCCAGTCTTCAAGGTTAAAAATGTATGGAAGTTAACTGCATACAATACATTTATCAAACTCACTACTTATTGTGTGTTTTCCAATAAGAAGTTTATAATTAGAGTGAAAGCTAAGCTTTATTATTGATTTTGTTACAAAAAAGGGTATTAGTTTCTTTAAGTTTCCGGGTGTTTTTAGACATAAAAAAAATGTAATTAGGTACAGAAAAATCATTAATAAAATACTCACCAAGCAGAATTTGGCGGTCGCTTATAGTTTTCGAGAAAATAAATTATTTAAAAAGTAATTTTTACTAAGAAAGTTCACCATTTTTACCAATTTGACTTCAAAAACTGAATACACAGTACCGCCGACGTGAAAAATATAGGAAGTGGGCGAAGATGAATTTTCTTTTAATTTTAAGAGTGACAGATCCGACACAGAGCGATCCGACTCGGATAGGTTAGGTTAGAAGGTTAAGGGCGGGAGCTTCGCTCCCGCCTTAGCCTTCCATGTTAGGTTTTTTTTTTATGACCACCCAGAAAACTTTAGTGTAACAGTACTTTTAGTATTTTTAAAGACTTTTTTAATAATGCGAAGGTATATAATTTGGAAAAGTGTGTGAATTCGTAAATTTGTACATGTTGTCAAACACAAAATGGCGGATTAATTTAGTGAAAATAACAAGTTTTAAATATTTTTTTTTTCTCGAAAACTATCTTTCAGCGACCGCCAAATTCTGATTGTTGATTATTTCATTAGTGATTTTTCTTAACCGGATAAACTTTTTGTTTGGTCGAAAACACCCGGAAACAAGTTTTTATTTACCATGAGCATTATTGCCAGCACCGGGGTTTGAACTCAGGCTGTGCAGTGTATGTATTTTTTATATTACTTTACAATTTATTGGGATGATTGTAGTAGTTTTTTTACATTTTCATTAAAGCATTTATCACAATTTTTCTTGTTCTCATGGGTCTGTTCATCTACCATGCCTCTGAAATATTTACCTGCTAGCTCAACACATTTTTTAAAGAGCTCTGGGTTTGGGTTATTCAAATGTTTTGGAAAATTGTTTACAAGTAGACGTGAAAATAAATCAGAAAGAAATTTGCAATTCGTACTGCCACAAACACAAATGCAGAACAACAAAGAAAATTTATTAATTTTTCTTACGCGCACACGCAATTAAAAAACATCAAACGGACATTTTAAAATTGTTATGTGGCATTTTTTTTCACCTTTCTTCTAGTCTAGAACATTGTGTTACAACTATATCACTTATTTTACCTTTATTAAAAAAAAAGAAAACATAACATTTGTTTCAAGATCCTATAAGAAAGATGTCGCTACACAAAATACTCGATCGGCTTTGTATAGGAGTTTCCGCCCCTATTGTATTGACCATAGAGTAACTTATTATAGGGAATTGAATATTGATTGTGTCAAATCAAAACTCAAAAGCATTAATTATTTAATGCTATACATACAATGTTTTCTAATATTTGTTGAGCAAAACTATAATGTGGTAAAACTGAAAGAATTGTGTCAAAAATTTAATGGCTAACTGTTAGAAAATTGATAATGTCGAGGAAAAACTATTTTGATAATACTTTCCATAATTGTCTTCATTGTTAAAAATTATATTGACGAAGATGGGGTGCGTAACTACTTTAAAATATTAAAAAGCTTGAAGAATATAATACCGAAATATAATACTCAATAATTATTAGATAAATTCAAATGAAAGTAGTTATGTAAAAATGATTCTCTTAATATAATTTATGTAAGTAAACCCTGAAAGTCAAATTAAGGAACGCTCTATACAATGAAAATAATGCCTGAAATTTTCTCAAAACTTACAACTATTCATGCAGCCATTTATTTGCAATGTAAGTTAACAGCAAAATGAATATGAAAAAAATGTAAACAGCTTGTAGTAAATTTTGCAAATCTAAATTTTATTAAGTTATATTAATTATAAATTTTGCTCCAGAAGATTGCTTGTACAAAATATTGATAATTGATTTCATTATCTGGAATTTACAAATTCTGAATAACTTATTCTTATTTGTGATTTGTGATAATTGATTTCATTATCTGGATGTTACAAATTTTGTTTCTTTTTTACTTAACTAGTTTGTTTGAAAAATATTTCATTTTAATTATGGATTTTTATAACATTAACATTTTTTATGATTATTGGCAAGTAGCGTTAGACGTGTATTCATTTATTATCGCGATTGTAAAGACACGATGTGTATAATGTAAAACTTAAAATTTTAACAATCTGTTGAAATCCGTCAGCCCCATATTAGGCAAGTCCATCCCATGGATTTATAGGAATAGAACAATTAAAGTTTACAGTATTTTCTTGGAATGACAATAAATATACTTAAATACATACAAATAGTCATTTCCATATACAGCGTGGCGTTACCACCGCGACAATAATCATCATCATCATCATCATTTCAGCCTGTTTGAGTCCACTGCTGAACATAGGCCTCCCCTGTGGGAGGCATCGCAGTGTGGGACGACTCCCCACTAGATGGAGTGACGACCTGTGCAAATGTGCGGGAAGTCGATGGATGCAGGTGGCTCAGGATCGTACTTCATGACAGTCTATGGGGTAGGCCTATATAGAGGATAACATTTTAAAATTGTATTAAACATTTACATTCTTTAAACATCAATATTTACCGAGTTGTTAAATTTTCCAAAACAAACAATTTTAGAACACCCTTACGTATAAAACTGTAACATAAACTTCATTTGTAAAGGTCACAAAGTATATGAATGGGTTGAATGAATTTAAAAGAGACAAAACATACTGTTAGAAGGAGAGGCTTGTAATGCGACGCTGTGGCGCGAGTTGTATAGGATGTTACAAATTTTGTTTCCTTTTTTACTTAATTAGTTTGTTTGAAAAATATATTTTTTTAATTATGGATTTTGTTTACCGTTAATATTTTTTTATGATTATTGGCTAGTAGCGTTAGGCGTGTGTTCATTTATTGTCGCGATGGTAACGACACGCTGTATACAAAAATACGTTTTTATGCAGCTTAAGTTCTATCTTTTAAACTAATTATATTAATAAATATGTCCGTAGAAAGACAAACCTTTGTTTGTTTATTGATTTTTATTGTTCAGTAGTTTACAAACAAACAATTGCTTATTATCTAAATTAATAGGTCTCTGCAAAATTTAATAACATATTGCAAGAATTCAAAAAGAAGATGTTGAATATTTTAACAAAAAAAATGAAGAAGGAAGTTTTATGTGATGGAACTGTGTACACTGGATCAGCAGGTTTATCACTGTTCTTTCTCATGCGTTATATTAAATATGATCAAGATGCTGATTATAATTTACAGGTTTGTTTTTAAAACTTACATAAATTCATAGTGTGTTTTGTCACAGCATTTTTCATATCTTTAGAATTAATTTTATTTTTAGTCCTTGTCTCTGCACTCAAAATGACACCAAATTGTGATTTTTGTTGATAATGAAGAAAAACTCTTAGACCTGCAGATTCAAACCTGTCTCCCAAATTCGTGCCTAGACACTACCAAGAATGCATTTTATGAATTTTAGCATAGCTAAAAATTTATTAAGGGGGAACAAGGCTAACACTAAAAATAAAAAAATCATCCTGAAATTGTAAGAAAAAAAGACAATATCTTGTTACAAATGTCCGTCATTGAATATTGATGCAAACAAGATGACACTAGGCATTGCTTAAAATTGAATAAAAAGAATGTAGATAGATGTCAAGACTTCTTTTTCGCCGGCGTGAAATGGAAATATTATACTTCTGCATTTCGCCTGGTGAGTGAGGTAACCGTAGCCCACTTTATTAAAAGGTGGCAACTCATCTGCGATCTCAAAAATAGTTGACAAGGCATTGGAGTAATGCCAGAAGCCACAATGGATGTTTTATGTATAATTCTTAATTAAACATTAATTAATTATTTAATGCGCCCTTTCAACTTCCTCTTCTTCCGTCTCTGATCCCGTTATTTAGGGTCGGGTCTCCTCACTTTTCTGCGCCAAGACAAACGGTCTTGGGTTGTCATGTCAGGCAAGGCAATTTTTAACTTGCAATATCAGGTCATCGGCGGCCTAACCTAACCTGTGATCCTTATATGCGCGAGCAGCTTTTCACTGGGTTTGTGCTTCTTCCGCCTGATCCGCCGTACCAATTATAAGGCCTTTACCGGTAATTCAAGGGCAAGGGACTGTGTTATACCCCATAGCACTGGGTCTGAAATTCCCAGTCCCCGTCTGAACTTAGATACCAGCTTACTTCGGCCTACTGAAATAAATGGTGCCCACCCCCGTGGCTTGGACCACCGGAGTTACCCCAGTGGGAAACAGAATTCCTCCCCTAGGGGGCCTGGTTAATGGCCGGGTTAGTGGCCTTTTCAACTCCTTCTGTCTGAAGATTTCTGGGGCAAAGATACACAATGAATAAAATTAAAAATCCCTACATAAGCATCATCATTTGAACCCGGGAAATAAAAACAGTGGATTACATAACAAAATCTATATCTTGTCTTCGTTGAAAACTCCTTTCAATTCTTTTTTCTATCCATTGTCATGAAACTCTGTCTATAACAAAGTTGTGCATAAAAAACAAGATAAGTCTAATAGATTCTCGTAGGCTGGCTTCTTGTACGATGACACATTTATACAATTCATGGTCACGATACATATATGGCAGTTCAGGTCATCCCTATCGAAAAAATTAGATTATTATGTTTTTAAATTTCAATTAAACTCTTGTCGTATTTACACATGGAAAGTGTCTCCTCTCTTAGAATGATGATTCTCTATGCTTTATGCACTACTTCACAACACATGAAGGCATTTTGAATTGATAAAACATTATTTTGAAAACTCCCTTCAACGTCCAGGTGGACCGATGACCTGAGAAAGGTCGCTGGTAGTGGATGGATGAGGAAAACGGAAGATTGTACTGTGGCGTGCTCTTGGGGAGGCCCATGTCCAGCAGTGATCTGCAAAAAGCTGATTGATTGATTGATGTTTCAACGTCCGCACCTGTCAGCTATGAACCAAAACCGCCTCGCGGTGCATTTTATAAGCCCCTCCCATCACGTTTTCGTTATGCAATTTTGGAGCAACACTAATGCTGTAATGTTTTGTTTACATTCACTGGGTTTCAGTGAAAGTAAAGTAAGTCTGAAATCTCTGAGCAAGTCACTGTGCCGTAAGGCTTTATACTTTCTCTCTATCATTCTCATCTGTTCGTTTTATCTGTATAATGACGATTTACAGCTTTATGTCTAAGCAGATATGAAAGATCTTAATAACAACTTAATAACCCTTATAGACAATATTGAATATGTTAGAGATTGGTCGCATAAATTTGGGATTACTGTAAATCCATCTAAATGCAAAGTGATTATAATTGGTGGTCCAAAAATTTTTGCTAGGACTTATTAGTTTCGCCAGTTTCTTAAAATAGTCTGATAATTAAAATAGAACGATAACGTCATTCTCTGTCTCGGTTAAAAATCTTGGCGTGCATTTGAAACAATCGTTTAGTTGGGAAACAAAGGTGGAATACAGCATATTCAATCGGAAAGCTATTGCCACATTATATTCTCTTTACCTCCGGCCCTTTAAAACTAAGCTTTCGCTTGTCCAAACATTAATTTTACCATTATTGACTTTACTGAAGTGTGTTGTTACCCGGATCAATCCCAATTCTCAATAATTGTATTAGATTTATTTTTGGTTTAAGTAAATATGATTAGGTGTTCAAGTAACATGTTGTTTAGTGTAACACCCGATGTCTGCTTCTGAGTGTTCATAGTGTGTACTTTGAAGTAAAAATTATAGAAGTGATCAAGTTCTTTTATTATTGTGTGTGCATAATATTACTACAATGTCCCATCGTGCACTGCTGTTCAGCAGCAACAGTGGCCAAAACTTAACATAAAATAAAAAGTTTTATTGCTGAAAATCTCGAGATTGATTATATTTGAATTATCGATCATTATATTTATAATCTGGCAATTGTTTTTAACTAATTGATATCACGTGACAACCTGCATGCATTATAATCAAAACAATAAAATAAAATAAATAAAATAGCCTTTATTGCTGCTTCTATTCCTTACAATTAACAAATGCCTACCTACTATAAACTAAATTAATTTAATCAATTACAACATAAATCTTTTGTATAATCGGCAACTAGATGTTTGTTTATTTATGTGGAACAGCTTGTCTGTCGACAAAGGCCTCCTCCAAAGATTTCCACGTATTCCTGTCTCTTGCTAAACGGATCCATACGGACCAGCTATTTTCTTGAAGTCATCTTCCCATCTTTTAATTTTTCTTCCCCTCTTTCTTTTACCATCTCTTGGATACCATTCTGTTATTAACTTAGTCCATTTCTCTTCACTTTCTCTTAACGTATGTCCCGTCCAACGCCATTTGAGCCGTCTGTAAGCTGTGTGTGCATTTTTAAATTTTGTTATCTTTTTAATTTCTTGTAATTTCACTCTGTCACTTATTTTTATACCTAAAACACTCCTTTATTTTGCATTTTGGAAGACTTTTAATTTACTTTCTTGTACTTCTGTTAACGCCCATGTCTGGCATCCGTAAAGTAAGCATGGCATAATGCATATTTCGTATACTTTCTTTTTTCCTTTCATTGACATATCTTTATCCTTCATTATTTCTTTAAAGAGACCAAAACCGTTTCCAAGAATTTCGTCGTTCTATTTTATTTATTCATACAATCATCTGTAGATATAAGTTGGCCCTAATATATATATTCATTTACATATTCTATTTGTTCGTTATTTACTGTTATTTTTTGGTTGGTTACTGTGTGTTGGGAATTCGTCATGATTTTGGTTTTAGTTGGGTTCATTGTCAAGTCGGCCTTAACACTTTCATCGGATAATCTCTGCAACATTAGTCCCAGAGTTCCAGCATCCTCTGAGAACAAACTTAAATCATCTGCGAAGCGTAGATGATTGAGATTTTCGCCATTTATATTGAGACCATTTTTGGTCCAGTTTAAATTCCTGAATATCATCTCCAACACTGCTGAAAATAGTTTCGGTGATATAGGATCTCCTTGACGTACACCTCTTTTTATAAGAAATTCGTTACCAGTAGATTCAAGTTGGACTTTTGCTGTGCTCGCTGTGTATACGTTTTTAATTATTCGTATATACTTTGCTGGTACTCCTTGTGTTTATAGGGCATCCCATATGTACTCATGTTCCAATTTATCGAACGCTGTGTTAAAGTCAACGAACCCTATGTAATACGTTTTATTATATTCTCTATATTTCTGCATCAAAACAATACGAGTCCTAATATATTGTTAATATTTATCAACTTTTTGGACATATTTGTGGTACTATGGAAATGGTTTCTTAAAAAAATTTCTATGAAATAACATGATTAGTTTTAAAAATTCGCCTGGAGACAAAAGCCCATGGATATGAGTAAGTAAGGCCATATGTCAATCTTTTGATCAACTAGGAGAGTGTCAATTAAATTAGTGTCTTATCACCATATTAAAAATATACCTGTTTTACCTCATTTGTAACGGAATGTTTTTTTTAATTCTATAAAGTAGGTGGTTCAATATGTTATACAACAGTTATATTAAAATAAATAAAGCATCCGTCGGGATATTTTGAGACATAGTAGGGGGTAAATCCAACACCTTTTTCCGTAGGGGCATACGCACGCAAACTTGCATTAAACAGATAAACGCTGACTTAATCCCCCACAATTACTCGAATAACGGGAGTCCTTTAACTGTTCGAGAGAGCAAGTTCTTTTTCAAGTAAAACTTCGCTTCAGTTATGACAATTCTCTCCCCCACGGAACTTCTCTACAGTGTCGCGAAGTATAAAGAGAATGGGCAAAGACAACTCGTTTGTGTTGTATCAAATATATACCGAGTGCCCGCTCGGGGTCTTCCTTGGGCCGGCCCTGTACAAGCTGCATCGGTTTTGCCAGAGCTCCAAAAATTTTAGCCATGGGCAACTGCTATGCGATAAGGCAAAGAGTGCGTGGTTAGCAGAGGCAGAGGGAAATTTCACCAACGTGGCTGTTGTTTTCCAAGTAACAGCGTGGGTGATAGAAGTGCCTACACTCAATTCGGCTCTTTTTGTGGGTTTTCAGCTTGCACTTAAATATTTAGATTTGAAGAATCTAAAGGGCCATCGTATTAGCTTCCTTTGTGGGGACGCTGGTCCAATTGCAATAGCAACAGTTATTTCATACAAATTGGGTACGAAACGCCCAGAGAATTTGCCCGACTTCGAAGCACTATCACAAAGGTAAACGAGCTTAAATTTATCCTTGTACAAAATATGACACACATTATATAGGGTGATTTTATAGACGACAGACATATTAACAGAGCATATGCAGAATTTGATTCTAAATCTGAATCTGGTACGTACTTGTGACCTCATCTGTTTTTCAAAGATTATTTTTAATTTTTCAAACATTACTGTCTCAACACAATAACCTATTCACGAGCAAATTTTTCGCTGAACGTATAATTACTAAACCTCTTATCAATAGGGTGACCACTGTTAACGGGATGAACAAACAATGTTCGAATTGATATTGTTCTGGTTATTTCTTGTCAAAATAAGATATTAATATTTATTTTGAATTATGGAATGCTCAATTAACATTATGTTAAGGTATGTACTTCATCTAAAAAATCATCCTGTATACTTTACGTAGTTAGCTATTTTGTGTTTAAAACCAAGTTTTTTTGTTTTAAGTACAAAGTCTTCAATCTAATTATTTAAAAGAAAGTCTATGTATAAACACCGTTTTATTTAATTTTTATCATATATTTTTGATTTGTACAGGTTACTGGATCTTAATAGATTGATGAAAAAGTCACCAGATGAATTACTTTACGGAGCGGCTGGATATCTTTATTCTCTATTATTTGTTAAGAGCAATATTGGTGAGAATATTATACCTTCGAAGAACATTGAAAAGGTAATGCATTGTTTACCTCATAGTAATATTTGTGACAGTGAAACAACCTGGGTCAAATTTTATTTAAATAGTTAATTGAGAGGTGGACATAAGACCAAGACTAATTGAAAATTACTTCCAACAACAAACGTTTAAATTCCGATGACTAAAATGTTACAAAATGCTGATGAATCAAGTCGGAAAGAGTCCAGTACTCAGATTTCATCTTCATAATGTGGTTATTATCACATTGTGTATACTTCTGAATTTGAAATTTGTAATCAAATGCATGCATACAAAATTTACATAATATTTTTTTATGTGAAAAGTTGCTAAGTAAGCAGGCGGTTCACCTGATGTTAAGTGAATACTGCCGCCCATGCACATCTGCTACACCCAAGGATTGCAGATGCGTTGACAACCTTTTGAAAATTGGACTCCGGCTACCTCACTCACCAGACGAATCGCGAAAGTATTTATTATACTTCGTGAGGTCGAATATAGTAAGAACTCTGTGTGCAACAAATAATATGAGTTGGTCTATGAAAAAATGCATTATTATCAAAAACAAGTAATAATTTAATAGATTTAAATGTGACACATTAGTTTAAGACTATTAAATAATCATTTTATATTCATAAAAATGCTAAAAAAAATATTTCAGGTTATTGATCACATATTAACATCCGGAAAATTATTTTCCGCACAAGTAAAGTCGAATAGTCCGCTCTTGTGGCAATGGCATGACAAGATTTACTTAGGTGCTGCTCACGGTGTCGGGGGGATATTATATTTGTTGTTGCAGGTGAGACTTAAAACAATCAATAGTGTTTACCTTGTGCGTTGGAAGACTGGTAGGTGTGAATATTTTTTTTTTCAAGAAGACTTAAAATACGTTTGAAAAGAAGAACTAGCCTGTTCTTCTGACTCATAGAAATAATTTAAATAAATGTAGCCTAAAAATCAAAAAGATGCAAAGGAATAACACTAACCGGTCGTCTCAGTTTAAATGAGTAAATTCAAAATTCGCCTCATCGCCTCACTAACCCATATTGGCTAAATTGTTTGTATTTTTATAAAAAATCAACGACCATGCATTGACTTTAAATTACCATTGTTCAAGCCTTTTCGTATAAAAATCAGACCATATATTTAAAATCACATATTTATGAAACATGTTTTAACTCTTTTATAAATATGTGTCTTCATAAATATGTAATAATAATATAGAGCGAACATGAAACTAAAATACGAATCTATCGATAAAAAAAATCAACCAGTAAAAATAAATGAATAGGTAATTCCCTAAAAAACGGAACGTGTTGACAATGCGGTAGTCATTCATTCAACTTGTGTGCGTATTGGTTATCAGTGATGAACGAGTTGATTTTTTTTTGACTCGAGTTACTCGAGTTGATTTGACTACTGACTCGAATCGCAACTCGAGTTGACTCGCATCTAAGTCTCAGGTAGGGACAATGGGGGGGGGGGGGGGGGACGACTCGGCCAACTCGGAGAGCACGAGTCAGCTCGACTCGAGGCTAATTAGATAGGAAGTAATAATGATGTTGAATCGTGATGTTATGTGGCTTCTCGAGTCGATTCGCAACTTCGTTTGTGGTCTGAACTAGAAGTGGGCGATACAAATCGTATCAGATATGAAAACTAGATATTTGTACAATATCCGAATATCGCTTACTGGCTCGTTCAATATCTATGTATTTTACAATATCTGATATTTCCGAAAGCTGATGTACCGTGCTCGCTCGCTATACCGACACGAATCGCGATATCATACGCGTTTGCCACAATATCTGATTTTTAAACAGATTTCGAGTGACAAAGCGCGTGAGATACAAATACTCACTAGTTAGAGCGGGACGGCAAGCAATGCACGATATCAGATATCGAGCGACAAAGCGCGTAAGATATAAATACTCACTAGTTAGAGCGGGACGGCAAGCAATGCACGATATCAGATATCGAGCGACAAAGCGCGTGAGATATAAATACTCACTAGTTAGAGCGGGACGGCAAGCAATGCACGATATCAGATTTTTAAACAGATTTTGAGCGACAAAGCGCGTGAGATACAAATATTACACTAGTTAGAGCAGTACGGCAAGCAAGGCACAATATCAGATTTTAAACAGATATTATGAATAAGTTAAGTAATTTTGAATCTTAAAACCATGCAGATAAGATCCGTTTTAATTAAGTACTAATCATGGTATCAAAGATTACTACAACGATATTATTATATTTCTATTGTTTTGTTTAGCCTTGAGCCGTAACTGGCGACAAAGCGCGCAGTTAAGTAATTTTGAATCTTAACAGCATGGAAAAAAATCTCTGTTGCATTTAAATACGAATTACGGTATTAACGATGTCTTTAAATTTTGTTTAGTCTTGAGCTGGATTGCATTGGTACCAAGCACGTAATAGTTAACGTACGTAACTTACTACTTAAGAATTTTCTGCCTAAATTATTATTAATATTATATTAAGGAATATACTTAATATTATATTAAGGAAGAAAAATATAAATGGAAATTTTTTAGGAGGTAAATTTAATAGTGCTGTGCTGCTTGGGTGGAAATCAGACCAAGGCTTACTTTGTGTGTATGTTTTAAATTCTTCCGCCCTAAGTTATAATACTGAATGTATTATTTCTTACACAAATTATAAAGATATTGTCACTCATGATTGCGTGTTTTAAAAATATGTTAAAGTCAATTATTAAGCGATATATAAGATGTTAAAATAAATCATTTTTATATTTCTTCAATTTCTATTTTTAATGAAATTTTTAATTTTATCAGGTAATGTTTTAATTTTACCTTAATAGTATAAAAAAATCGTGATTTTAAATTCAGTAAGTTTTTTGAATTTAGTCAATTTTAGTGGGTTTTCGAATTTATTTAGAAGTATTCTTTTTGAACAGTTGGTATCACTGGTAATAGCTTTAGTTATGTATAGGTACAATGATCGTCGAACAAGACTTTCGACGATTAAAGTCAAACAGCTTACGTTCGTAAACGCGAATTTAAACCCGGAGGAATCTAAATAATTATTAACCCACACATAATTGTAAATAAGTTAAGTTTTAAATATCAGGAAAATTATGTACATAATTTGTACGTGGCAGTCTGTGGGGGAGGCCTATGTTCAGCAGTGGACTCAAACAGGCTGAAATGATGATGATGATGATGATGTACATAGAATGAATCAACTTTTTAATACTCCTTTTTTTTTTTTTTAGAATTCAAGGTGGATACGGGACCGTAAAATATCTAGATATTAAAATACATAGTTTCGAAATCTGATATTTGAAATCGAAATCTGATTCAGATACGATACTCAGAAAAAGCGATACGACCCATCTCTAGTCAGAACTAATTAGAAGTGGGCGATACAAATCGTATCAGATATGAAATCTAGATATTAGTACAATATCCGAATATCGCTTACTGGCTCGTTCAATATCTATGTATTTTACACTAGCTGATATTTCCGAAATCTGATGTACCGTGGTCGCTCGATATACCGACACGAATCGCGATATCATACGGTTTTGCACAATATCTGATTTTTAAACAGATTTCAAGAGACAAAGCGCGTGAGATACAAATACTCACTAGTTAGAGCGGGACGGCAAGTAATGAACGATATCAGATATCGAGCGACAAAGCGCGTGAGATATAAATTCTCACTAGTTAGAGCGGGACGGCAAGCAATGCACGATATCAGATTTTTAAACAGATTTTGAGCGACAAAGCGCGTGAGATACAAATATTACACTAGTTAGAGCAGTACGGCAAGCAAGGCACAATATCAGATTTTTAAACAGATATTATGAATAAGTTAAGTAATTTTGAATCTTAAAATCATGCAGATAAGATCCGTTTAATTAAATACTACAACGATATATTTTTTATTGTTTTGTTTAGCCTTGAGCCGTAACGGGCGACAAAGCGCGCAGTTAAGTAATTTTGAATCTTAACCACATGGAAAAAAAATTTTTAGTTGCATTTAAATACGAATTACGATATTAACGATGTCTTTAAATTTTGTTTAGCCTTGAGCTGGATTGCATTGGTACATAGCACGTAATAGTTAGGGATGCTAACTTACTACTTAAGAATATTCTGCCAAAATTAAGGAAGAAAAATATAAATGGAAATGTCTTAGGAGGAAAATTTTTTGTGAATATTTTTATTAGTTAAATTTAATTCATATTTTTGGAAAAAATAAAAGTACACAAAAAGAAAAATATAATTTCATAGTGCTGTGCTGCTTGGGTGGAAATAAGACCAAGGTTTATGTGCTTTGTGTGTATATTTTAAATTCTTCCGCCCTAAGTTATAATACTGAATGTATTATTTCTTACACAAATTATAAAAATATTGTCACTCATGATTGCGTGTTCTAAGAATAGTTAAAGTCAATTATTAAGCGATATATAAGATGTTAAAATCAATCATTTTTTATATTACTTCAATTTCTGTTTTTAATGAAATCGTGATTTTTTTAATGAATTTAATCATTTTAGTGGGGTAATGTCTTAATTTTACCTCAATAGTATAAAAAAAATCGTGATTTAAAATTTAGTCAATTTTAGTGGATTTTCGAATTTATTTAGAAGTATTCTTTTGGAACAGTTGGTATCACTGGTATTAAGTTTCAAATATCACGAACATTATCAACTTTTAAATACTGTGGGGGAGGCCCTGCACAATTTATATTCCGAATGAGATATGAAATATCGTTGAAAACAATTTTTATCTTTTTTTTTTTTTTTAGAATTCAAGGTGGATACGGGACCGTAAAATATCTAGATATTAAAATACATAGTTTCGAAATCTGATATTTGAAATCGAAATCTGATTCAGATACGGTACTCAGAAAAAGCGATACGACCCATCTCTAGTCAGAACTAATTAGAAGTGGGCGATACAAATCGTATCAGATATGAAATCTAGATATTAGTACAATATCCGAATATCGCTTACTGGCTCGTTCAATATCTATGTATTTTACACTAGCTGATATTTCCGAAATCTGATGTACCGTGGTCGCTCGATATACCGACACGAATCGCGATATCATACGGTTTGCACAATATCTGATTTTTAAACAGATTTCAAGAGACAAAGCGCGTGAGATACAAATACTCACTAGTTAGAGCGGGACGGCAAGTAATGAACGATATCAGATATCGAGCGACAAAGCGCGTGAGATATAAATTCTCACTAGTTAGAGCGGGACGGCAAGCAATGCACGATATCAGATTTTTTAAACAGATTTTGAGCGACAAAGCGCGTGAGATACAAATATTACACTAGTTAGAGCAGTACGGCAAGCAAGGCACAATATCAGATTTTTAAACAGATATTATGAATAAGTTAAGTAATTTTGAATCTTAAAATCATGCAGATAAGATCCGTTTAATTAAATACTACAACGATATATTTTTATTGTTTTGTTTAGCCTTGAGCCGTAACGGGCGACAAAGCACGCAGTTAAGTAATTTTGAATCTTAACCACATGGAAAAAAAATTTTTAGTTGCATTTAAATACGAATTACGATATTAACGATGTCTTTAAATTTTGTTTAGCCTTGAGCTGGATTGCATTGGTACATAGCACGTAATAGTTAGGGATGCTAACTTACTACTTAAGAATATTCTGCCAAAATTAAGGAAGAAAAATATAAATGGAAATGTCTTAGGAGGAAAATTTTTTGTGAATATTTTTATTAGTTAAATTTAATTCATATTTTTGGAAAAAATAAAAGTACACAAAAAGAAAAATATAATTTCATAGTGCTGTGCTGCTTGGGTGGAAATAAGACCAAGGTTTATGTGCTTTGTGTGTATATTTTAAATTCTTCCGCCCTAAGTTATAATACTGAATGTATTATTTCTTACACAAATTATAAAAATATTGTCACTCATGATTGCGTGTTCTAAGAATAGTTAAAGTCAATTATTAAGCGATATATAAGATGTTAAAATCAATCATTTTTATATTACTTCAATTTCTGTTTTTAATGAAATTTTTAATGTAATCAGGTAATGTCTTAATTTTACCTCAATAGTATAAAAAAAATCGTGATTTAAAATTTAGTCAATTTTAGTGGATTTTCGAATTTATTTAGAAGTATTCTTTTGGAACAGTTAGTATCACTGGTATTAAGTTTCAAATATCACGAACATTATGTATATGGAATGAATCAACTTTTAAATACGCCTGCACAATTTATATTCCGAATGAGTATAAAATATCGTTGAAAACATTTTTATCTTTTTTTTTTTTTTTTTAGAATTCAAGGTGGATACGTGACCGTAAAATATCTAGATATTAAAATACATAGTTTCGAAATCTGATATTTGAAATCGAAATCTGATTCAGATACGGTACTCAGAAAAAGCGATACGACCCATCTCTAGAACTAATCCTCTCCTTTTTCTATACACCTCGACCTCGAACGGTTGGGATTTCAAAGACAAAATTTACAATCAATTGGCACTAGTGTGCATTTTATTTCGAAAATCAATCAACAAAGGTGTATATTATTCCAGCGCAGATCTCAACATCGTGTTTAAGAAAATACGACAAAAAAATACCGCCATCTATCGCCTCAAAGTCGTAGTTATAAAATGTAATTGTACATAGTCGATTGCTTATCGAAAATAAAGTTAAAAGAAGTTTCTGTTTTTATCAAAAATGTCAGTTCGTTGTTACAAACAAATCAAAAATGTCAGTTCGCACGCGGATCGCCAACGGCCAACTAATAAAATCAAATAACAAAATGTCAACCAAAAAACAAAATAAACTAGATCCTAGCCGAACGAGCCCGACTCAACCCGAGTTCTATTCGAGTTGATGCGAGTAAGATGCAACACCTTAAGGCCCATTTACACGGTGCTAGTTTCTTGAGTGTTGTATACAATTAAATTGAAGTAATAAATGAGTTGCATGGTGTAAACAACAAATGGTCTAAAAAATTATTGCGCGCAATTTATTGCATTCAATTATTGCTCTTGTATGTTCAAGAAAATGGCATCGTGTAAATGGGCCTTTACGAACGGCGCGCGCGCGTGAAACGTAACTTTACATTTCACTCAACTCGAGTTGATGCGAGTTGATACGAGTTGCAACGCCTAACGAACCGCGCGCGGGAGCCGCGTGTGTAACTTGGAACAACTCGTGAGGCCGCCGCGTATAGCGTCCGGCTTGTGTTCGGACGACCGAGTTGATTCGAGTTGCTTAAAACTGAACTCGAGTTGACTCGTTTAAGGTTTGACTCGAGTTACTCGAGTCAAATAACTCGAGTCGCACATCGCTATTGGTTATGAATGATCGCGCGTAAAATAAATGAGCTGCGTATAAATCACGCACTTTTTGAGACAAGTTCAAATGAATGTAATTAATTACTTAAGAGTGATTTTGAATATTTATCATTTAATTTAATAACATTATTTATGTCTAGAATTTAATAAAAAAATGTATACACTTACACTGACCTTTGACAGATTCAAATGCTCATGAAATATAGTGTGAATGGTTAATTTAATTTTCATTTTTTAATTTTCACTAAATAAATTAATTGATAATGGAACATTTAACCAATTTAAATTCCAGGCCCGATCTTACATTAATCAACAAGACATAGAAACTTTGATAAAACCAACATTAGATTGGTTGGCACATAAACAACTTCCAAGCGGCAATTTTCCTTCATCACTCGGCAGCAGTTCTGGAGATAGATTAGTGCAGTGGTGCCACGGCGCACCAGGCTTCGTGCATCTGTTTGTTTTAGCTCATCAGGTTAAAAATTTTCATTGTATTATTGAAATATTATTTAATATAATAATGACAGTTTTAGTCTACAAAACCCATATAGTAATTAAGCTCAAAAACTAACATATTTAATTTTTTTTATGCGAAAAGTTGTCAAACGAGCAGACGGTTCACCTGATGTTAAGTGAATACCGCCACCCATGGACATCTGCCACACCCGAGGGTTACAACCTTTTGAAAATTGGGCTCCGGCTACCTCACTCACCAGACGAAACGCGAAACTATTTGTCATACGGAAGTATTACACTTTACGCCGGTCTTCTGTGAGGTCGTGGTACTTACTCGGACGGGCCTGCCCATTCGTGTAACAGCCGAGGCTGCTGCGTGACCCTACCACCGTAACTATAATAATATGTAAATATAATACCAATATAAAAAATATAAAATACTTTAACGAAACGATACATATCCGTATCATACATAACCGTAGTGTAAATGTTATATGCTTATATTAAAAAAAAGCTTTTTAGGGCAAAGTGGCAACGTGGCACACGACTACGGCTAACACAATCAAAATGTATTAAATACTTTAAAATATATATAATATTATGTATTAGTTGTTTATTCAATAGATGATAAATATAGAAAAGTTTATAATTAACAATTTCAGATGGGAGTTTTTAGAGCGCCATTTTTCAGTAGTCTAATTTTAGTTTTTGAACTAAATTTTTATTTAAATTATTCTTTTTATAATTTCTTGATAAAGCATTACTGCCTTCACTGTGTACTCTCTCATGTCATTCTTATTACACACGGTTTTTAATATAGGTACAATGACCGACTTATAAACTGCATCAAGGTTCAGGCAAAATTTTTAGATCAAACTAAATGAAAATGTCGAGACTGTTCATTAATTATTAAATACAACAAAATTAGCCTTCATTTTGTTCAGTGATGAGTGTAGGACATGTCAAATATAGAGAAATGTTAAATTGCATTGAGGAGCGTGTTCCTTTTGGAGGCAGTTCCTGTATGGTCTGGGGTGGCATTTCATGATCGGGCGAACGGAACTTGTGTTCATCCAAAACGGTAGAAGAGGTGATTTGACGGCACAACGCTATATAACAGGTTTTAGAAGCTCTCGTGGTAGCTTACAGGGGTATTAATGGGTTAAAATTTGACTGTAATGCACTCACAACTTCGCTTGCAATTTAAATCTGTGCAAGCAGGGTAGTAGTTTAATGTTAGTGTAGTGTTGTGCTCGTAGGTAGGTTCCTGTTCTGTAAGTAGAATTCTGTACACACTTCTCGCCTCAGAGGCGGCATTGTTTTATTTAATATCTTTGTGCTTGTTGCGATAGGCGACAGCTACGTACCCACCCTAGCGCACCTAAAGTGCAGGTGAATTAGTTGTTAGTTTTAGGCACAATCCTCCCAACCGCCAGGTGGGGAGGCTTAGCTAAATCTACGCACGCCGGTGTGGCATAAGCCCCAAAGGCACATACGACGCGATGGGCTCCCTCTTTGAGGAGTTCGTCCGCCAACGATGTCCCGACATTTGTGAAAGCTTTCTAGCGTTCAAGGCCGAACAACATTTAGCCGTGGAATACGCCAACGACAGCCCGGCTTCACCGGCAATCAGGCCGCCATCCCCCGCGCCATCTGCGCCCATTAGCCCGTCGCCCTCCGCGACGTTAGAAGCCCGCATCGCGTCGGCATCCGCTGCCGTGAACTCGTCCATCGCGCCTTCCGCGCCTTCCGCGCAACCAAACCCGACCTCTTTCCGCTCCGTCGTACCCGACTCACAATCGGACGGCGGATCGAACATGGAGGTCGAAACGACCCCCGCTGAAAACGCGAACGCCGCCGGCTTCACCATCGTTAAATCGCGCTAATAGGGTAAGAAACGCCCCGCTACAGACAGTGACCACGAATGCTAGGCCGCCTCAACGATCCGTCCCACCGCGACGCCCGCCAAAAAGCGCCGGCTAAACCGATGCCCGAATTCGCCTCCGAGCGAATAATAAAGCCTCCTCCACCCATCATCATCCAGGAGAAAGATCCAAAATGGCACCAAATATGTTCGTGGTTTGAACGCCATAACATCCGCGACCCCCGGTCGAAAAATATGCATATGGGTATCCGCGTATACCTAGACTCTACGGACGACTTCCGCCGCGTAACGAAGTACTTGCGCGAGAATAAAATAGGTTTCCACACCTACTCGTTGCCCGAAGAACGCAAACTTCGGGTAGTAATAAAGGGCGTCCCCAAAGAGTCGGATATCGACATCCGCACTCAGGGATTGCGCAGATCCACCGGACCGTGTAAATTGTCACCCCACCGGCCACCCGGCTACAGGGGCTGCGCTAAGGCCCCAAAAACTCCGGCTAGGAAAGCTCCCGTGAAAGCAACTTTACCGAAATCCGCGCCCGCACCCGTCGTTAATGCCTGGGCGAAACCCCAGGTGGTCCCGCCCCCGGTCGCCTTACGACCAACATTAGCCCAACGCAGCCTTTTTTTTTCCCGTGGGAAAAATCCTTTATGGATCCTCTGCCACTGGATCGGGGGAGTGGCAGGGGTATGTGGGATTTCCGGTGAGAAACGGGTACCCACTAAAAAACCCACGTTGCACCTGTCTCTGTCACATCGGCCGGGGACACGGGAACACGTGGACGCAATGTTCCGCGACCCCGGCGCGACTATGGCCTTTTAGGCCTCCTCTACTGCATCGTGCTGTGCCGGTGCAATTGGCACAGCACACATCACGAGCCCCATATTGAGCGACAGACACCCCCATGTCTGGCGCTGAGGGCCTCACTATCAGGGGGGGAAGGTTGCGCGCGTAGGCAGCCCAATGCAGCCTGCCAAACAACAGGCGCCGAGGCCGCAGGTGCAATCAACACCACCGGTATTCACCGGAAACAATGACGACCCGTTCGCCCAAATGGCAAACGGCTTCTTAGACCGCATAAATAGACAAGAGCTCGCTGTATTGTCCTATAAATTATCGGCCGCCACATCTGGCCCCGAGCGTCTCAAAGCTATTTACGACCATAAAACACTTGTAGACGCCCTCTGGGTGTTTACAAGCCAGCCAGGCGTAAACCTTATAGTCCGCGCAATAAAACCGCACTCCGCCGCGTCGTTAATTAGAAACTATAAAAAAAACTTTTATGGAAAGTACAACCGCAGGTACATTAAAACCTCGGGCTCTGGTTGTTTCGTATTTCAACGCAAACGGAATTAAGGGTCAAAGTGACGAAAACGCAGAATTCCGCCGCGATTCTAATGTAGATATATTTCTAGTGCAAGAAACCTTAAAACCTAGCATACGCAAACCGTCTGTGAGGCACTTTAATTTATTATAAATCGTCCTTGCACTGTAGTCCGCTCGACATTCCAAATCTAAGCAATATAGAGGCATCCGCGTGTAGGTTAGCGCTCACCGGCCTTAGGCCGCTAGTACTAGTCTCAGCCTACCTCTCGGGGAACAAATCTTTATTACAAAGCGATCTAGAAACGCTTCTCAATTTAGGCCCTTCCGTGATAATTGCAGGCGATCTAAACGAAACACGGCTCATGGGACATTCACAGTATCCCAAATAATAACGGTAAGCAACTCTTTAGCTTATAGCATAATCGCTCCTGCGACTCAACAAATACCAACATGCGATACCGAGTATCTCACATATTATGTTATGCAAGGAGGTCTCACTCGACATCGAGCCGATAGAGACAAACCATGAACTAGATTCAGATCACAGAACCGTCCTGTGTAAACTGGGCCAACCAAATCCGTAGTGGACTGGCATCGTCTTGAGGTCAAACTCAAGGTCTTGGACCCCCAGGACACATAGTCAACCTACCCGAGACGATTGCTACGTTCGATGACGCAAATCGAGCGATAGCAAGTCTATGAGAATCTATTACGTCCGCAGTGTTACTGGTAATTAGACAAAAGAAAGCCAATCGTGCTTTCGACCGATACCGATCAGAATCGAACCGAACCCTACATCGACGCCTTCAGCTAGAAGTCAAAGATCGCGTATGGGAACACCGACATACCGCGTGGGACACTCCTAGAGGATATCGAGCCATCGCACACCACCTAATGGCGGTTGGCCCGCAGTCTGAAAGTAGACCCCCGCAAATCTCTACCGCCGTTAGTTATACCTAATAGCGCTTCAGTAGCCCTACATGACTCATATTTTTTAACAGCGGTTTTAAAGACATGTTAAATATCGAACGTTTATGTAGATTTCCTTATCGTTTCAGATATTTAAAGATGATAAATATTTACAAATAGCTATAAAATGCGGCAATGTCATTTGGGAACGTGGTCTTTGCACAAAAGGTTATAGTATTTGTCACGGAGTCAGTGGGAACGCATACTCATTTATTTGTTTGTATCAAGCCACTAAGGTGAGAGATTTTGTTTTAAACGTTTAAAATTTGTGGATTGTAAGTTTTTAAGAAATAAAACTTCAAAGAATTAATTGAAGTCTATCAAATACTTTTTCCACGATGCGCGCACATCGACAGATATCGTTTTATTTATAAGAAATCTTTGTATTGCATCAAATGAGTGAAAAAGGTATTGAAATAAAATACGTTTTGGTTTCATTTCAGGACCCTCTTTATTTGTTTCGGGCTTGTTGCTTTATGGATTGGTGCGTGAAGGCAAGGCCTGGTACGGAGCAACATATGCCTGATAGACCAGCATCATTATTCGAGGGCCTACTTGGCCGTCTGTACTTGGCGGAGGATATTGCTCGCCCTGAAGATGCTAATTTCCCCGCATTTACATTGTATTAATTAGTGTGACATTTATTAAACTTTTCTAAATTTTTAACACCCTAATTTTTCGATGTGTATGCATTTGCCAGAAAGCGTATATTTCAGAACTAGCAAGGATCTTTTAATAGTGAGTAAATAAAACCAATGGATATACTGTGTGCACAGTCACAATAATTAATGTATATTGTGTGTGTTGAAAAACATTCTAGTGTTAAATGTTTAAGACTAAAATATATAAGGACCTTTTTTTATGATTTTTATAAAAATGTAATCAAATAGGGATATTACTTGATTTTTATTTTCTAAAATAAATCTTTAAGACTATTTTACCTGCATGAGCATATTGGGACATGTCACAATAATATTTCTATTAAAATATCCAAGATAAAAAGTCTAAACAAATCTATGCATTAGTTTTATTATAACTATATAAAGTATAATATCTTGAATTAAAGAAAATATTATGTAAAATTTAAATGAATTCCTTTAAATAATAACAATTTAAATTATTAGCATTTAATTGCAATAAAATACTTGCACTTTCCGGTTGTTTACTTGAATGAAATAACAAAACATACATTAATAAACATGTTAGTATGTTTTTGTTATGATTAAACTTATTCATAAATGCATTAATAACAGATATAAATTCATAAGATAAATGTTTTTTTTTTTCTATATTATTAGACTTGAGAATAATAGTACTGGCTATAATTTATATATTTTGTACGCATATGACTACTTCAATTAATTGTAAATTAATTGTAAAGTCAGCAGTAAAAAGGAATGGGCCATTAATCCATTGTTTTCTGTAATATATTACTTTGTATTAAATGATATAAAAAAGTTATTTTCGAAATTTAGTAAAATTAAATTTCAAAGAAACCTATTTTCTATAAAGTGATTATATGCATTTTGCCCATCACAATCTACTAATTATATTACTAATATCATATCTCCAACTATGTCAGTATTTCTCTCACATAAAAACGTCACTGCCATCATCATATTTTAGTATATAAAGTTTCAGTACATAATGTGTTGTTGCACAATATAGTTGCAGCAATACCTACAAAACATATAACATTTATTTACATAAAGTTTATAACAATTTCGCAAGTTTCTTCCTTAAGAGTCACTCATTTAGATTTGATGACAGAATTTAAAGCATAAATTACTTATAATAAATTACATATTGGACAAATTTGATCATATTGATTTTAAAAAAGTTCAAAAAGGAATAATAATGTTATAACTGCATCTGAGGAGCTCTTAGAATATGACTTACAATCTAAATTATACAAATATAAAGGCTGCCAATCTGAAAATAATATATTATGTATATCTTAAGTACTGAATTTATTTGTGGCAGTGGTACTCAATTTTACAATTGAGAAACTTGCAAATACAACATTTTATTTCTATATATAGCGTGTCGTTACCACCGCGACAATAAATGAAAACACGTCTAACACTACTTGAAAATAATCATAAAAAATATTAACGTTAAAAAATCGATAATTAAAAAAAATATTTTTCAAACAAACTAATTAAGTAAAAAAGAAACAAAATTTGTAACATTCATACATTAAGAGACTTTTTCATTCGTTGCCACAGCGTCGCATTACAAGCCTCTCCTTTTAACAGTATGTTTTGCCTCTTTTAAATTCGTTCAACCCATTCATAAGCTTTGTGACCTTTACAAATGAACTTTACGTTACAGTTTTATACATAAGGGTGTTCTAAAATTCTTTGCTTTGGAAAATTTAATAACTCTGTAAATATTGATGTTTAAAGAATGTAAATGTTTAATACAATTTTAAAAATTTATCCTCTATATGTGTGTTCATTTATTGTAGCGATTGTAAAGACATGCTGTATAACCAAGAGATATCGTCTTATATTAAAGTTTCGTATTGAGTCTTTTCACTCTCAGAGCGTAACACTGGCCAGCAGTAGATCGTAAAGTTCTTGCATTTATTCATAATATATGAAAAATGGACGAAGATGATTTGCAAACCACAGACATTTATCAAATTGTACTTTTGTTTTACATAATACAAAATTTCATAGAATGAATTATGTTGAAGTTTGCAAAGCTTCTTGCAAACACCATGTGAGCCGGCAAGTCGCTATTTTATTAGGTCCATAATCTTAATGGTCGCACGCCGCGTGCTTCGTGCCATAAGGTACTTCGCAAAATTTAAATGCGCCTCTGAAGTTACTTCAAATCGTTGCGCACTGATGTGTAATCATATCGATTTTAGAGGGCTATATGCAGAGTCAGAGTTAATTTACTTCCTAGTTGCATCGATTAGACGTAGTTATTTGACTTGCAGCACGCACGCATATTAAATGATAACTAAATTTGCGTAACTCGGTGCTCGTGGAGCTTAGCACACCGGGGCGCATTTAAGTTCCGCGCGACGCGTACAACTCGGGGAGCTCAGGGCTGTGCGACGGCGCCTCGGCGCATCCAAGCGGCCAGGGCGCTCTCGTAGAGGGCGCGCGGCGGCGGGCCCTCGTCGCCTGAGGCGATGAGCTCGAGCAGGCGTCGGGCCGTTTGTCAGAGGAGCGCGGAGCCGGCCTCGGCGCGCGAGTGGGGGAGGGGCGGCGCGAGGCGCCACGCGTTCTCGCGCGGCTCATACACCTCCACGGAGGCGAGCGTGGTGCGCGCGCGGTAGAAGGCGCGCTGGCCGCCGCTCTCGCTGTCGCCGCCGGCCGCCACCAGCACGCCCTCCGCCGCGCCCGCCGCGCACCCCGCCCGCGCCTCTTTCAGGCTCGCCACCTCCTCCCACGTGTTCTGAAACGATTTTAGATTATATAAACATCTAGATGCCTTGTCGCCTCATGATAGATGTTAATTTTTAAGGTTCCTAACCAAAGGGTAAAACGGGACCCTATTACTTAAGACTCCGCTGTCACCAGTCCGTATCTCATGACCCGTGAAAGTCAAACAGTAGAAATTTTCACAGATGATGTATTTATGTTGCCGCTGTAACAAGAAATACTAAAAAAGCAATAAAAACATATTTAATTGGGGCTCCCATACAACAGGCATGATTTTATGTAGTTTCGTGCGCGAGTCCGACTCGGACTGGCCAGTTTTTTTTTTAATTATTGGTCTCACCATCTGCAAGGAAGTCGTTAACCCGGATGAGTCACGGTCGACATAATAAGAAAAAAATATTAGACTATTGTAATGTCATCGGTCTTTGATCATCATCATTTCAGTCTGTTAGAGTTTCATTCAAATACTTTATGATGGAAAGTAATCTTCTTTGCCTTTTCTTTTCTTTTTACTATTTTTTGCAAGATAAAAGCACATAGAACGTCTTATTGAATTTTCATGAGGGAGGCAACATTTGTTTTTTGGCGCGTCAAACGTACTGACTGCGGTTTTCTGTAAGTAAGTGCATTTTCCTGCATCTGACACTGTTACCCGTTGATGTGCAAGCCTAGGAATCATGACTTATATAAAATCTAAGGAAATAGCCAATTACTTTTGTGCCCAGCCGCCCTCATCTCGAGCTCTACAGCTTCTTGTATTCATCCAAGTATAAAATTTATCATTGCATAAAATTGTCGCATATTTTTGTGGGTGGAAGAGATAAAGGGCTTTCCACAATCTGTGCCACGCAAGGTTGACGCTTAGCAACATCACTAATGTTAGCTATTACTATTACGCTCCCGCAGATACTACGTTAGGCAATTGTTATCTCGCTAGGTTCGGTTTAGATTCCATTTGGTCCCCATAAACAGGTCTGTGATGTTTTTTCAGCAGTAAACAAAAGGTGTGGTGGACAACCGGTTGAAGCTAAACGTGAAGATACATAAGGGAACTACACGAAATCGGATAGAAACTGAAAACTGAGCTTTGTTACCCGTCCCGTTCCGACCACACTCACACACACCCGACCCGTGTGTGAGTGTGGGGGATACAGCGGATTTTTAACACACGGTAATAAAACAAAAGAGCGCGCTCACATCGTCGAAGTTGTACCGCTCGACGGACGAGAGCACGGCGCGGCGCGGCGCGTTGCCGCCGATCGCGTACAGCCGGCCGTCGAGCACCACCGCGGCGGCCTGGCTGCGCTCGTGGCGCATCGGCGCCAGCGCGCTCCACTTGCCGCTCGCCGGGTCGTAGCAGAGCAGGTCGCGCGTGTGCCGCCACGTGTGTGTGCAGCCGCCCACCACGTATATCAGACCTGCGGACGTTCGGCACCCGATCCGTTGATATGACGATAAAATTGATCCGTCGCTCCAGGCTCTTTCGAGGGGACTGTAATATATGGTAAACGTGTTTTATTGTGAAATAATTTGTAAAAAAAAATATACTCGCGCTGAGTTTATTTCGCCGATTCTTCTCAGGTCAGTAGTAATGTTTCACGCTTCTCCATTGAATGTAGATATTTGAATTTTTAGCAATAAAGGTGTATTCGACAACCGGTTGTAGCTAAGTTCCTTTCGCTGCGTAATATGTATTGAACAACGGACAGAATGGCGTAAGCGATTGAAAAATAAAAAAATATTATATGAAGTAATAATAATAACGCCTAAATTAGTTAACACCGCAGCTAAACCATTCCAAAAATTGCGCAGACTGTATAAGTGTGATATAAGGGTGAAATTTCATAATGCACTTATTATTAAAATTTGTACGAAAATTGAAGAAAAATCTTCTGCCGCCGCGGGAATCAAACCCGTGTCTTCTAGAAACAGCGAAATACTTTTAAAAAAAATGTATTATCGTTTCGCTTTTAATTTTCGGGATGCTTAATATCACTTGGGATACGAGTAGGGAGCAAAAGGTGTATGACCTTCAAAGTTGACCACGCCCATGCCGAAACGCGGCTCGGGCATCTTCCCGATCAGCGTCCACTCGTCGTTTATGGGGTCGTACACCTCGACGGAGCCGCCCATATCGGAGCCCACCCAGCCGCCGAATGCATACAGGCTTCCGTTCCAGCCAGTTAAGCCGAATTCGCAACGGGCCTCCCTCATCGGCGCTATGTTCGACCATTTGTTTGTCTGCGGGGGAAAAGGACAATGCCGTATTAAACATGGCTAAATACGTTTAATCAAGTGCATTTTTATGAGTGTGTGGTTTTAAAGTTTATATAGTGCTAATCTCTGCACTTAACATTGAACATTAAAACATGTAGAAAAAGTACGTAAAGATTGTCGCCGCTGTGGGAATCGAACCCACGTCTTCGGCATTCGCAGCCTGACGCTCTAGCCACTGAGCTAAACGGCTGATAGCCACAGCGGCGACAATCTTTTCGTACTTTTTCTACATTGTTATTTAGCATTTGAAGCAATGCTTGGCGCATCTATTGTTATATCCTTTCCAGCATACAAACAATTTCGAATATCGTTTTACAACGATAATTCGAACGAGAGATGTCGCCATTGCTTTTTATAAATTTTAAAGTTTTTTATAGTGCTAATCTCTACACTTAAGATTGAACATTAAAACATGTAGAAAAAGTACGAAAGGATTGTCGCCGCTGTGGGAATCGAACCCACGTCGTGTGTGGTTTTTCATATTGAATTGACCAATGTTTCCCGCCTATATCACCTGTTGCTGGTCTAAAGCCAAACCGTTAGTACTTTTTTATATACTGATGGCTTTTTTTTAATAACGTATAAAAGAGCAATTGAAAAAATTAAAGTGGGGACTATGGGGACAATCAATTGAAATATTTTCAAAGGCCGTAGATAGTAAGGGGTATGAATTGAAATTTGAAAGATAATGTAAAGAGGGCGGTGTAAGATATGTATATTTAAAAAAAGGAATCACCAATGCACCTGAGGCTCATACACTTCACCATTCGCGAGTATCTGGCTGCCTTGTTCGCCGCCCACCGCGTACACCCGCCCGCCGAGCGTGGCAACGCCTGGCTGGATCCTCGCTATGCCCATTGGCGCGAGCTCCTCCCACTCTCTATATTGATGTAAATATAAGTTAGTACACAAAAGCGTGATAGCTCCTTGACCGGGCGCTCGCCTTTAATTCAATATAGTCGAGCAACTCTAAAATGCCCCAACATCCTTTGTACAGAGGAGGCCTTTGCCCAGCAGTGGGACACACAATGTGGCGCTACTACCGCGACTTTAAATAAACAAACATATAACGTTTTGAAATTGTATTTAAGATTTACTGTGGTCACGCTAGTGTTCACTGTTGCACGAATGGTCAGGTCCGTCCGGGTAAGTTGCACGACTTCACAGAAGACATAAAATAGAAGTGTTATCTCCGTTTCGTCTGGTAAGTGAGGTAAATAGGCCCCATTTTATTTAATGGTGGCAACGCATTTGCCACCTTACGGGTGTTGCAAAAGTCCAGTGCGGCCGTACTTAACATCAGGTAAACCACCAGCTCGTTTGCCACTTTATCACATTAACAAAAAAAATCAATATTTACCGAGTTATTAAATTTTCCAAAAAAAAATTTTAAAAGACGTACGTTTAAAATTGTAACGTAAAGTTCATATGTAAAGGTCACAAGCATACGAATTGGTTGACTCAATTTAAAAGAGTTAAAACATGCTATTAGGAGAGATTGGTAATGCGACGGTGTGGCATGTTGGTGGTTGTATAGGATGTTACAAATTTTGTTTCTTTTTTATTTAATTAGTTTTTTCGAAAATGTAAACAAATCATTCTCAATCGTGGATTTTTTAACGATTATTTAAGGTCGCGGTTGCAACAACATGCTATACACTGTTACTTATTACTTTTCTACACAAGTTTCAAGCGTCATTTAAATACAAACATACGGTAATTTACCTAAATGACTATGATGACTTATGGTAGTTGCTACTAAGCAGAAACGATTTGTGGGAAAATAAAATAATAATTATTTTAAAGATATTTTTTCCAACTTTACTTCAACGCACTTATTTTGTGCGGGCGTGCGATGAGTAGATGACGGCGTCGCTCACCTCTTGTGCAGGTCGAACTTTAGAACGGTGGACAGTATGTTGTCCGCGGTGAGGGACGGGTGCGCGGCGTTGTCGTGACAGGAGCCGCCGGCGACCAGCAGCACGCGGCGGGAGCGGGCGCGGGGCTCCGCCGCCAGCGACACCAGCGCCCCCCGACCGGACTTCTGCGGGCGAAGGCCGAAATAGCTTCACAACTGCGGGCCACCGGTAGCTTCTCCAATTCCAATTTTAGTTTTATGACTCCATCAATATACAGCGTGTCGTTACAACCGCGACAATAAATGAACACACGTCTAACGCTACTTGCCAATAATCATAAAAACATATAAAACGTTAAAAAAAATCCATAATTAAATAAAATATAATTTTCAAACAAAATAATTAGGTAAAAAAGAAACAAAATTTGTAACACCTATACAACTACAACTGACTGATTCATACATTCAGAGACTTTTTCATTCGTTGCTACGGCGTCGCATTACAAGCCTCTCCTTCTAACAGTATGTTTTGTCTCTTTTAAATTCATTCAACCCATTCATATGCTTTGTGACCTTTACAAATGAACTTTACGTTACAGTTTTATACCTAAGGTTGTTCTATAATAAATTTTAAAATTTAATAACTCGGTAAATATTGTTGAATATAAATGTTTAATACAATTTTAATTAGTTATCCTCTATACGTGTGTTCATTTATGACACGCTTCACTTAGACACGCTGTATAAGCTGTAAAACAAAGAGTAAGTAACATAATTAGTCGGTAATATTGACTATCATACGGTAGTTAGACAATTATACTTATCCGGTTGAGTTACCTGAGCAAAGGACACAACAATAAGTTAGTTTATATATAGTTCGAAGCTTCTCTTTATCGGATACAATGATGTACATACGTAACCACAAAGTTGAAACTTTTAGCGGAGGTAAAGAAGTATGTTTGAACCTAAAAAATCGTAGAATAAATAACAAAATGGCGAAACCAAAGCGGTCCCCATCGCCCCAGCCAATCGAGTATACAAGTAAAATATTTTATCATGTATACTTTTTAATTTAAAGTTTCTAGGTACGCGTACGTTACGCCCGACAACACCCACATATTTTTCATCACTATTTTTTACATGAAGCCCGTTATTAAGTGACGAGGTGTTAAGTGTTCAGTTATAAATTTTTGTTTCTACAAAGCGGTTTTAAGTATGATTATTTTTTAATATTTAAATTTAAATCGGATTGTTTGATTAAATCCACCATAATTTATTTAACGATGTTAATTTAAACCATTAATAACAATTACTATCTTAAATCTATTACAAATATAAAATCTAATGAATAGGTCATCAATTATATAAATAAACATTTAGTTGCTTCTTATTGTTGAGATAAAGATCAGTTTACAACGAAAAATCGTTCAACTGACAATGCGTAATCAATAACCGTCGACACTAATTATTCCATCAGCTAAGCGGACACGATACTTTTTATAATTTCGATCGCGTACAAATCTGTTGTACTTGTTTCGAGCAACAAGTTACACTATGTAAATCGTGTCAAGCGATTTCGGCACTAAACAATGATTACTAAGCTTGCCAAGCCAAATTAAGGTGACAATGAGGCATACAAGCCGACGCAATTCATTCCGTACCGTACCATATCATCTCTGACGGTTTTCAAGGCGAGCGCTATCGACGGGTCTTGAACAGTTTTGAGCGCGTCGTCCAGGACTTGCGGCGAGATCAACGGCAAACGAACGTGGCTCAGTACTTCAAAGCAATGGCGCCTGCGGCAGGCCGGGTCGTACTCCAGCCATTGCAGCGCTGGATATAGTACCTAATTAAAAAGAATAATAAGAATTTAAACCATTGAAAACTTAAGCCGCGTTGCGTGTGCAACTACAAATTAATTTTTTGACATACTCTTTGCAAATACATTTTATCTATACAACTGGACATTATAATATCTGGACATATGTTTTTACATTATTTATTAATATAAAGAATTTACCATATTAACTGTGAGCTCAAATATTTACCTGCGCTTCATTTTCCACTTTAAGTTCTTCAGAAGATAATAAAGTAACAAGCTGTTGCAATGGTAATTCTAAAAACTCTTCACCATTAGCAACAATATTCCAATTGCCTTGAGCGTGAGTTAAGGCATCTTCTGCTAAATCCATACAGTTGTGAGTCTCAGCAAATCTAGTCGGTAAATTTTATAAGTTATTATGTACCAAAAATGTATAAAAAGCAATAATTATTTAATCTAATTTCTGCTTTTGCCTAAAATTTGTTTTAAAAAAGAAAATAATGGTCAGGAGTCCTCCATTATGTAAATCTTGCTCATTTCAACTTATTATTTGTATGAATGTAAGCTTTAGAATACATTATAGAACATAATCTCGACCATGGCTCTGATGCCAATTGATTTGATCAATCTTTCATTGGAAGTACGTATTTTCTCAATTTTACATACAAATAAATAATGAATATAATCAAAGCAATAATATTTTCAAGTTTCATTCTTGAAATGTTGAACACATAACAAAACTTTAAAAATAATACCTAAATATCCCAAGGGCGTTTGTGGGGTGTATTTCTCTCTTTAAGAATTCACCACACCCCGTAACAAGCTCTCTTAGTTGTAGCATATCAGCAGCAATTAAAAGATGTTGCACTGTCGCTTTGTCTATCACTATTTCACCTAAAATAAAATTATCCCTGCTATTGACTTCCATCATTATTTTATTGTTGGGTTAAGTAACCAAAAATTAAAATGTGTACCACAATTTACAAATAAATCAACTTGTCAGCTCATACAAAACTTCACCCTCACCAAATGAAAGGCAAAGGTAGTTGAAGGAATTACCCAGACGGACCTGTTCTTTCATGTAATAATGAAGACTGTTGCCTGCCCCTACCACATGTGTCATGAAAATTATTAAAAGCAATGTGTCTTTCAATTTACCATATAATTTATTATTGATTTCATGGTAAATTTGTACACTTAAAATGATGCCAATCTGAGGTGCGTATTTATAAGCAGGCACATACAACATGGCTGTAACATAAGTGTTATATTATTTTCTAAGGGACATTTTAAGACCTAATAGGGCCATATAGTCGATAAAAATAATAGTTCAATTTTGTTATTTAAAAGACCCATCTGATTATCTGTTGTATATTTGTAGATTTCAAAACTTACCAGTGTATATAAAGTCAATAATTAAAGGTAGAATACCCGGTGGAACAGTGGGCAGTACTACATGACCTTTTTGGCTCTCTTCAAGACCAACACTAAACATTGCATCAAAATATTCACAGCTAGCCGCTAATACAGCACGATGTGCCTGAGACAAGTTGAAAATAAAAATGAAATCATTTTTTACTACTTTATATAATGTGTTATACCTTCTCAACTAGGTAGTTTAAGGTTTTAAGAAATCCACTCTTAATCACAAGTATTAAAAGCTTTATGTTGTATCATGTTTATCTTGTGGATTTTAAGAATGCAATTTAAATAGGTTAATTTTTTCAAAAAATTCACTTAATTAATTTTTAAACACTTGCATGACCTATATACACTATTCATGGCACAAATTCAAGAGGAAGGTTTATAATACATTAAACCCTTAAGCAAAGCTAGTAAGATATAAACTGGGAATTACCAACTGAAGGGGAAAAAAAATAATTCAATTTTTTAAGCTACCAAATGCTATTTATCAATTAACTAGCGACTGCCCTGGCTTCGCATGGGTGCAATGTATTATACATATAAAGCTTCATCTTGAATCATTCTATCTATTAAAAAAAAACGCATCTAGATCTGTTGGGTAGTTTTTAAGATGTAAACATACATAGGGACAGACGAACAGTGGGACAACTTTGTTTTATACTATTTAGTGATAAAGTTATTTTAAATCTAATAAATACAATTATTCAAGAAATAGTTACTTAGTATCTATCATTCTTTTATTTATATGAGACAAAACTTTGTTTATTCCCTGAGTTGTGTGTAATATTCTTAGTGCAGTGAAAGGAAAAAACACTGAGTCACTTAAGTCACATTGCAACATTCATTCAATTATATCTTCTATAAAAAAATATATTTATTAAAAACCTTCAATACCTTCAATAGAAAATATAAGATTAGTCATAATCATTTACAGATTCACATCTAAAATATAAAGCCATTCAAATCTTATGAACGTATATAACTAATATTTTATGTTATATTTTTAAACCAGGTACGAAATCACCAAAGACAATCATTATTATTAATTAATTAAAATGTTGTAATTTCTTAGGATACAATGGAGGAATCAATATTAATAATAAGAAAATTTTACCTTAACTTTTGTCTTTCCTGAGATTAAGTCAATATCGCAAAATCTCCCTTCTTTTCGAAAATTATTCAAGTTTATTGAAACTTTTGAGGCATACTGTCGACATTTATATGGTCTCGGCCCTTCTTTACTCGGCAACTTTTCATATAAATTCGACATTGTAGTGATTATTTATCATATTATACTTAATAGCACAGTGATCATTTGTGTTTTGAACATGTACCATGTACCCATAGATAAGACGTATAAATACTGAAATGTATGCATGTACCTAAAAAAAATTCTCAACTCAACTATCATAAATGTCATTAATTTTATTTACGGGATGCTGCCCTTTCAGATATATAAAAATAAAAGTACTCTTTGGTGCTGCCAGATATGTTTCAGCTATAAAAGTACTCTATGATCTGTTCGTCAGTTTGTCTGTTCGACTTTGGGTGTTCGGCGCCAGACCACTAGATCAGTTCAGTTCAGTGCAAGAAAAGCGCTAGATTCTGCTAGACAAATGGGATTCCAATAGATCACAATGCTTTTTTTATAAAGTAAAATTGGAGCGTCCCGCCTAGCAACCATAACATTGAATTTACCATGAACATTTTTAAGGTTGTTTTCATTGGTGCATCTTTATATTTGTATGTATACATGTTAGCAACGGAATCTTCCAAATTTTTATGTTCAATCATTTCAATACATCAGATTAATTTGAAATTTCGTACGCTTATCAAGGATTCTGCGTGATAGAGTTCGCAACGAAGATACGTTGAAAAATAAAGAAAACCATAAAATTCAGAAAATTAGTAGGCAGAACTGGTGCTAATGATGGCCATATAAATGAAACTCTAACAGACTTAAATGATGATGATCAAAGAAGTTAACAACGGACCATTGTTTTCAAAACATATTCTCGATAAATTTTCTGGATAGAAAAAAAATCATTCAATCACCTTTAGAAGTTAAATTCTAATCCAAAAATATGCATAATAAATCAAAAAATCCTAATAAAATTAATATCAGTGGTGTAGAATATTTTAATAACCAGGACTGTTGTCTTAATTAGTTGATTGAATTAAGATATTTGTAAGTATTAATTTAATTTATTAAAATTAACTCGAACGCGACGATCAAAACACAGCGCCACCGCGGCGTTGTTTCGGTCCTCTTTCATTTCCACAAGTTGACGGTTGAACATAAGCGCCAAACGTAGTGATTATATTCTCTTTTACAAGCGCTGGGGCGCGTTGCTAGGTGGACATATGCCGCTCATCTTCCGCTCACCGTTACGAAATATGTTCCATATTTATTTATTATTGCGAGTTATAATTTTATTAGATCTTTCGAAAACACGAAACTAAAAAATGTGTATTAACATATTTCGTATTTTTAATTATTTGTATTTGATCATCATCATTATTTATATTGAATAAATATACTTTGACTTTGTAAAAAACTAATAAGAGGCCTTCAAGCTCCTGGATTGGAAAGGATGTGGCATCAATATCAACGGCGAATACATCACTCACCTTCGGTTTGCCGATGACATCGTAGTCATGGCAAGGTCTTTGGAGGAGCTCTGCACAATGCTCGAAGTCCTCAATAGAGTCTTGTATCTTGTATTAACTGATGTTTTTGCTTTCAGTCCCGAGACTATTAAAGCTTCATCGGACGCAGAACCGGTGGGCTAGCCAGAACCCACGGGTTTGGACCCTCCGCTATGGGTAGGGTCGCGCATGTGCTCATGCGTGCGTTTAACTACTATGGTGTGTCATCTAAGGGCCGTCGAGGTCGCCGGTTCGGACCGAGACCCCGACGGCCGTCGACTGTGCATTTAGTTAATCGGTGGCTGGGAGCGGTGAGAACCGCCCCGGAACGCGGGTGTACCTTGTGTACGCGTTGTGTGGGTCTCGCCGTGCTCGGAGGCGAGGGCGAACTGTTGTGATTGTTGTTACACTAACTGTGGGTGTAGTGTTATCCGGCGGGACCCCCGGCGGTGGGTTCATCGTATCTATGTCCTCTTCGTCGACCGGGTCGATGAGGACGTTTCGCGGGCGACGCTTGTTTACGTTCGCGTTTGTGTCCGGTTGGTAGTTTGCTGCGCTTACCACCAGAGGGTTGGGATGATGCTGAACTCTATCGAAGAACCGTTTTGTCAAATCTTTAAAATGTGCACGCCAGCCGTGAGGCGGCGGCTTGTGGAGAGGGTGCCCTCGATTCGATATCGAAAAGAGCGGTTCAGCAAAAAGGCCCGGATGGTGTGTACAAGCCTATCTGGCACTTTGAGTGTGTACAGCTTGTAAAGCAAGCCGTTGTGCCAGACTTTGTCGAATGCTTTTGCGATATCGAAGAAGAGAGCCCCTGTACTAATGTGTTTGGGGTGGTTAAGGCCTTTTAGGATGTGCTCCGTTAGGCGGTATAACTGATCGGGACAAGAGTGTCTAGCTCGAAAGCCGAATTGTTCCGTCGGTAGAAGGCCGTTGGAAAATACGTGCTCTTTGAGCCTGTTTAACAAGAGCCGCTCGTAGAGCTTCCCCAGGCAACTGAGGAGGCTGATGGGACGATAGCTAGAGGGCTGATTGGCTGGTTTATTCGGCTTGCGAATGCCGATAGCCGTGGCTTGCTTCCAGTCGTCCGGAAAGGAGCAACTGGAGAGAAGGGTATTGAAAATGGTCGCCAGTAAACAGATAAGCGGCCCAGGGAGAGCTTTGAGAATCTTATTACTTATATTATCTGGGCCCGGGGCGGATTTTGGTTTTAAATTTTTAATAATATCTTGGACCCCTTCGGGCGTCACTGAATTTAAAGGTTCGCCTTCCGGTGGAAGCGCAGCCCTAGTCTCGATTACGCGGTCCACCTCCGTTAGGTGGCTGAATCGGTGTGTTCGCGCGATGGCGTACATTGCTGCTCTAGGTTGTCCGCAAGGCATTCGGCTTTTTCGGAGTCATCTAGGGCTACTGAAGCGCTATTAGGTCTAACTAACGGCGGTAGAGATTCGCGGGGATCTGCTTTCAGACTGCGGGCCAACCGCCAGTAGGCGGTGTGCGATGTCCTCTAGGAGAGTGTCCCACGTTGTGTGTCGGTGTTCCGATACTCGATCTTTGACTTCTAGCTGAAGGCGTCGAAGTAGGGTTCGGTTCGATTCCGATCGGTATCGGTCGAAGGCGCGTTTGGCTGCATTTTTCTGTCTAATTAGCAGTCGTAGGTCGGACGGAAAGTTAAACCGTCCGTGGCCCGACAGTTTTACCGTCCGTTTCGAGTCTGTGACTGCGGAAGTAATAGTTTCGCGGAGACTCGCTATCGCTCGATTTGCGTCATCGAACGTAGCTATCGTCTCGGATTAGTCTACTAAGTCCTGGGGGTCCAAGGCCTTGAGTTTGACCTCAAGACGATGCCAGTCCACTACGGATTTGGTCGGAGGGACCGCGCCGGCGTTCTGACCCAGTTTATACAGGACGGGCCTGTGGTCTGAGTCCAGTTCATGGACTGTCTCTATCGACTCGATGTCGAGTGAGACCTCCCTGAATAACATTATGTCTAGGACACTCGGTGACGCGTGCTGGTAGTTGTCCACCGTAGGATACCTAGTGGGAGTCGCGGGAGCGACTATACTAAAATTTAGGTTATCGGATAAGCTAAAGAGATGCTTTCCGTTGTTATTTGGGATGCTGTTGGTGTGTTTGCAGTTTAGATCTCCTGCAATTATCACGGAAGGCCCTAAGTTAAGAAGCGTAACTAGGTCGCTTTGAAGTAGGGTTCTATTCCCCGAGAGGTAGGCTGAGACTAGTACAAGCGGCCTGTGGCCGGTGAGCGCTAACCTACACGCGGATGCCTCTATTTGACTTAGCTTTGGAATGTCGAGTGGGCAACAGTGCAAGGTCCGTTTATAATAAATTAGTGTGCCTCCCATACGGTTTGCTAACCGGTCGTGGCGGACAATATTGTAATTTGCGATTCTGGGATCGCGTACACTAGGTTTCAAGAATGTCTTTTGCACTAGGAAAATATCTACGTTATAATCGCGAAAGAATTCCGCGATTTCATCCCTTTGACCCTTCATGCCGTTTGCGTTGAAATACGAAACAACCAGAGCCCGAGGTTTTGTTCTACCTGCGGTTGTACTTCCCATTAAGGTGTTTTTATGGGCCTAATTAACGACGCGGTGGAGCGCGGTTTTATTGCGCGGACTATTGTTTTTTACGGTTGGCTCGTAAAAGCCCAAAGGGCTTCCACAAGCGTTTTGTGTTGGCTAATTGCCCTAAGACGCTCGTGGCCAGATGTGGCGGCCGCTATTTTAGCGGACAATACGGCGAGTTCCTGCCTATTGATTCTATCTAGTAAGCTGCAAATATTAGTGATTTGCGCGAATGGGTCGTCCTTGTTTTCCGCGAAAACTGACGGAGTTGGCTGCACCTGCAAACGCGGCGCCGTTTGAGAGGCGGGCAGCTGTTGTGCGATCGGTCGTGAGGCGACTGGGATTACCGGCGCGGTTACCTGCGCGGCCACCTGGGGTTTCGCCCAGGCGTTTATGACGGGTACGGGCGCGGGAATGAATTTAACGGGCGCGGGTTTGGGCAACGTGGATTTCGCGGGAGATTTCCTCGCGGGAGTTTTCGGGGCCTTAGCGCAGCCTCTGTAGCTAGCCGGGTGGCCGGTGGCGTTACAGTTTACGCAGTCCGGTGGATCTGCGCAATCTTTCGGTCGCGTGCACTCGGTAGTGCCGTGGTCACCGGTGCATTTGACGCACCTTGGGTGAGCGAAGCAGTTATTGGCCGTGTGGCCAAAATGCTGACAGTTGTGGCACTGTGCCACAACACCTGACTTACGCGGGGGCTCGATGACTAAGTCACTGAGCCCACAGACCCTCTTCAGGTTGAAGATGGCCTTACCTTCCCGGGGTAAGGTCAAGTTCAACCATAACCATGTCCATAGGGACACGGGTGCGAGGGTGTCTGAGCCGACGTACGGCGTGCACAGGGTATCCCTGCGTGCGGATGTCGACCTTAGCCCTATCGACAACCGACTCTTTCGGGACGCCCTTAATTACAACCCGAAGTTTACGCTCCTCGGGTAGTGAGTAGGTGTGGAAACCTACCTTAGCTTCGCGCAAGTACTTAGTTACGCGGCGGAAATCGTCCGTAGAATCGAGGTATACGCGGATACCCATA